ATCAGGGCGCACTGATCGTATTTGGATACCGAACTTGGTGTAGGTGTGACCACGACGAACGAAGGAACCACGGACAATTGCCATGGGGAAGTTTCTCTTGCCGACAACCAACATACGGATAAGCTTCTCGTTACCATTGACGATAAAATAGCCTCCCAGCTCCTCCGACTCTTCTTTGTGTTGGACAAGCTCCTGGGGCGTCGCCTTCTCCAAGTGGCATCGGTTGGTCTAGGTTTTGATGCTGTTAGTGTGTGAAAAGCGGGTAGACATCTACTATTTCAAACACTTACCCTCAGCATGATGGGCACCTGGCCAAGTTCTCTGATAGACTCCATCCAGTCTCCATTATTAACCTGATACTCGAGCCTCGCGCGCAGTTTCCCACGGTATGTAGCATGTCTCTCTCTGGCTTCTGAAGGGTAGATATTTCGGTTGCGAGTAGCGAATTTATTTGTTGCGGGAATGGCCGGTTTCTCAAGGAAGATTTCCCTGATTCGAACATTAAGCCTGTTGCGTTTCGGGGGTCGTCGTCCCTCCGCTTTCCGTGCTCTCTTCTCCTCGGCCGTCTCAGCATCACCATCCAAGAACGTCTTGACGCCGATATCTTTCAAACCTGCTTCGAGGACCTTGCTGCCCTCGAAAAGCGCGTTGAAAGAGTCAAGGTGTGGCCGAATGGCAGCCGCCAACGAGGGAAATGCGGTGTGGTCCTTGGGGGGGTTCTTGAAAAGCTGGTGCCGCCGGATGGTCTCAAAATCGACGGACCAATTGGTACCAGTCGCTGAAGGAGCCATTTTTGAGAAATTGCAGGCACTCCGTGCCACTTCCGTGCTTGCCTCGACTATACCCGTGCGGAGGAGTCGACTGAAGATTTCAACTGCACTGCTCTAGTCCGGTTGTGTGCACCAATGGAAAAGAATTGGTGCGATATGAACACTCAAGGTCCCATTCCTCACCCAGACAAGCGTCTTAGGATCTGATGTAGACTGGGCTTGAGTGAATCTATGGGACAGAGCGTCGCAGATATCGATCGGAACAATCTGTCGGAGACCTCGTTCATGCTGGAAATTTTTCGAGGTGGACCAACGGACACATATCATCACGTGCTGATACTGGTAGAAGAGAGGACCAAGCTGTGGGCCAAGTGCCTTTCTGCCTTAGGCATCACGATTGCCAATGCGTCACAAGGATCAACCTGCGCCTCCGATGCCACCTTAGGCAATAAGGCCAACTTTTAACCTTGGTCATAGCGAGAAAGACTTACCATGACACCATGACAAGGCTTGATTGATGGCTCACGTACCACACAAAGAATCATTTTGGTGCGACAAAGTCACCTGCCCCTAATGGGTATCAGGGGTAAATGCGTGTCTAATATCCGATTTAAGCCTGTCAACGTTGCTACTCCTGCGGCAACCATCATATTTCATTCCAAATTATTGATTCTCATTGACCTGACTGAGCTACTAAGCTAAGCGCTCCCCTCCACCGCGGCGCAGAGGGAATCGGTCATGCGTGCACATAGATCCCAGGCACTTCAGTTTCACCACAACGCAAAGTATCAAGAAGGATTTCCATTTTTTTAAAACTTCATCTCCTTGAGGCTTGTAACTACAAAATTTACTGGAAGACTACCACTCCTTTTGGCGCTCTATTCACTAGCAGAATCTTGACCACTTCACAGCCACTAGCTCGACCGTGTGTCCTCATCCTCCCGAACCTTCTGGGCGTCTCCCCATAAGCCGCTTTTCTCTATTGCTCACAGGCATTTACTATTTGCTTTTTTTTACTTTTTGCGTTAACTTCTTCGACTGCGGTTCAGCCCATCTACACCATCCCTGCGGTAGCTGGCTACCGATATACCAAACCCCCAAGAGGCTGACTTTCAGCCTACCCCCACTTCCCGCGCTTCGATCCAAGTCTCCAGGACCTTGGATCTCGACATTATATCCACGTCCATTCGTCATTTGTTACCAATCCAGCAAGCATCCTGTTTTGAACCTGATCTCGACCACAACTGACTCGGCTTCTTGGTTCCTGTCCTCTACCCAAGTAGAAAGAAGTGATTTGAAGTATCCGCAATATGGCGGGTATCTTTCGGACGATCTATGACTGGCTCCTGAGGATGTTCTGGTAAGTGGGCCGCGGTTTCAAAGTATTCGCCCTGTCGGCGATAGCTCTCCCGGCCCGGCCCCCGCAACGACATTGAATGCTCCGGCTTGCTAAGAGGGGTAAAATGTATGTTGCGAATGTAGGGCGACTGAGATGGATGTCACGATGATCGGACTGCAGAATGCGGGGAAATCGTCGCTGTTGCGGGTGCTTGCGGTATGCTCTATTTCGCTTTCAAGCGACCAGACAGTTGGCTTGTCTTCTTTTTCGTCATTGCTAACGCGGAGTGTTCAACTTCGACAGGGGGGAGAGTTCACTGTAGAGTAAGTCTGGAGCGCGTAGGACCTGGCGTGGCCACAACTGGGCTGTCTTTGCCTTGGGTTGCTAAACCTCGCCTTCACAGCTCGATTCCAACGATCGGATTCAACACGAAACGGGTTCAGAAAGGCCATGTGACTCTAAAGTGGTCAGTGTCCAAGAGTGCCCCGGTGTCGCATTCATCCAGCTAATATTGACACAGCTGGGATCTTGGAGGCCAGCCGCGGTTTCGACCAATGTGGGAGCGATACTGCCGAGGCGTTAATGCGATTGTGTAAGTGTCAAGATTCATTCGTTGACCCCAAGCCAGCCATGGCTGACTCTGGATGCAGGTATATAGTGGATGCGGCAGATCGTGCCGCCCTGCCAGTCGCCACAGAGGAGCTTCACGAGCTAATGGACAAACCTTCGCTTGACGGTATTCCTCTGTTGGTTCTGGGAAACAAGTCTGACCTTCCGGACAAACTGTCAGTTGACGAACTCATAGACGCGATGGATCTCAAGTCCATCACGCGCCGTGAGGTGAGCTGCTATGGAATCAGTGCCAAGGAGGAGACAAACCTCGACGCTGTCTTGCACTGGTTGATCGCCAGAGCAAGCCGATGAGATATCTGCGGGACAACGCCTGCAGTGACGGCCTAACAACAACACAGCCTCTCATTATCACATCGTTCGCCTTATCCTCGTCTTCAACCCAAACAATTGTAGATTCTCATAATACCGACTTGCCACCTCAGATGTAATAACCTTGATGTGATCCAGGCACATGAATGGAGCGATTGACCTTTTTCTTTGTGCGGTTTTGGAGTCCCTTGCGACAAGAATGTTCTGACCTATTGTCGAAATGATATCAAGCCATTTTTTGTATCATCACCAAGGACATCTGTTTTGTCTAGCTGGGAGGGGGGCATCAGATCAGCTGACAGTCAGCTAGCCCTCTGCTGCTATCTTGATTTTGATTCCATGAGACATCGAGCAGAACCTAATCAAAGCAGTAAAAATCCAGAGAAGGTCCATAAGAGAGGATATAGCTGCACTGCAAAAGCGCAAAATCACGGCCAGCGCTACTAGGCAGTATTTCTGAGAGCGTAGGTGAGTTGCTAGGAGAAAATTCGAAGACGCGACTAGATAATGACACCCAGCCAACTTATTTATGGCCGTCACTGAAGAGGTCCAACAGTGGCCACTGAACCACTGACCACACACAGGCCAACTGATGCGTTGGCATTGCAGATGGGAAGACGGGAGCTAAACAAGCCCTGCCCTGGGCTTCCAGCGAATCCTGCCCCACCAACCACAAGCTCGCGAGACAGGCGTTGCCGTCGTATCCTGGTCTTTCCCTGTCATAGGTAGATGGGGGGTTATGGTTGGCGGAACAAGGCATCAAATTGCAAGTTAGATGTTGTAGGTCTTTGACGAGGATCTCTGGTTGCAAACCGTGCACTTTATGGGCTTTGTTGTGTCCTTTGTTTAAGAAAGGTGGAATCATTTTAGTTCTGACTTGACCACCCTTGAGTACCTAGTCTACATAGTACCGTCGATGCTGACAGGATCCCTTTACAGTGCGGAGTAGATAGTCTGGGCCTTACTTGTCGAAAATCCAATATGAACATGGCTCAATATTATCAGCGTATATCGTTGCCCTATGGGTCACTTTAACAAGATAGACATTTACCCAAATTCAAAGTAGTCTATACAGTACTGACAACTTTTGAGTCTCTTCTTCTCTTTGATTATGCCATGTGACAGTCAAAATGAAGTCAGGGGACTAATTAATGCTGACTGGAATATGCAGTAACAGAGGACGGAGAGAGCAAGTGACAAACAAGGACAATTGGTGATAGAGGGATTGTGAAGCCATAGATAAGTGGTTATTTGTGGATATTCTAGAAGCTCCGAGGTACAACTACTGGGAGACTCTCTGATGCTTTTCATTATTTGTCAGGGTTCGGGGCTCATTATGGCGGTACTCATAGCTATTCTCTGCTAACTGTACCCCTCTTAACAGTTCAGTGATTGCTAGTAGTCTGTCTAAGTAGCCAATAATCTACAGTAGCCAATGATCTACAATGTCAATTTCGGCCCTTTGTCTGCGCTTCCTCGTCCAAGACGAGAATCTCGTGACTATCCATCTTCTAAATGAATTCTACTCGTATAGCTAGAGTGCCTCTAGCTTAGAGTAGTAATAATCAACGCCAAGTACCCCAGCCATCGAGGAGTCCTTGTCTCAGGCTCTCAGCCACAGCCACAGCCTTAACACCCAATCCGATCGGCGGAGACTCCCCATAATTAGCCGGTCCATTCGACCATTCCCCATCGCCGACTCTTTTTGTTGCTGCCTTCAGCTCTCTAAAACTTCAGTACCTTTCTACCACACTGTCGTCTTCAATTTCTTCTCCTCTCCTCCCTTACATAACTTCTCGTCACTTTAATCAAGCATCCCTGTGTTAAGCATATTGAGTCGCATTCTTCCCTGTACGACCGTCTACCGCCTCTATCTGTCGGTTGCAGGAGTGCTTTCTTCCACCGCCTGATCTACGTCATCCACACCTTCGAGAGGTTCTCCAACCACCATGGGGATCCTCTATCAGCGAGCCGTATGGTTAGTTTTTATTCCACCTCTGCCTGTGACATTCAAGCCAAGTGAGTGACAAATCTGATTGACTAACTCCTTTGTAGTTATATCAACGATTTTACTGGTACATGCGACAGCGCCTGGTATACCTGGGGCCGCTGGGTCGCCTTTGCTGTGATCGTCGGCGCAGCCTTCATAATCTTCTTCCTTCTTGCGTATGTCGCTGTCTCATCCTCCTTGGGATCATGAATATCAGCTAATTGCTCCTGATAGATGTTATAACGCTCGTCGTCGTCGCCATCGCGGTCTCCGGCCTCATCCCGGCACCGCTTGGCTTGCTCCTCCTCCAGGCCCTCCACCACCAAATCAGCCATATTACGGAGATCCATACTATCAACATCAGCCGCCACCGCAGTATACACCTCAGCCGCAGACACATGGCTACTTTGGTGGACAACAAACGGGCATCGAGCTGCAGTCGCCACCGCACGCTTATAACGCAGGAGGTGACCGAGTATACCAGCCTCCGCCAGGACCGCCACCTCCAAACGGACCCAAGGTGTAGGTTGCTGCAGAATGCATGCATTGGTACTAGGAGCATTGTTGTCTTAGATGTCGAGTGAGTCTTTGGTCAGGGAGCACTGTTGTTCGTTTAGGCGTTTTCGGCAGTGTTGGGATACCTTGTCTCTCGTTCCACTCTTTCCTTCATAATTGATGCGGTCTACAGTTGTGAAGGAGTTTATGATGTTACCATGAGTCTCTATATTTCGTCTCTACGTGGATTCTTAATTTCATAATGACCCAAAGGGAAAATCTGGGGAAATCTCGCGCCCTTGTGTTTCATGGCATACAGCATGGTGCGTGGAAGCTTTCAGTAGCCACAATACCCGTTCTAGGAAATTCATGTGCCATAAATTATTCAATCAGAGATAATTAATTGACCAGCAATACAGAATGTCCTCATCTCTCTCCGCATGAAGTCGAGTGCTTCCGTTATATATTCTGTTGCCACATCCAGCCTTGATAATTCGTGCAGCACTTCATCCTGATCGTACTACCACTGTACTTGGCATACCATTCCTTTGTGCACATAGTAGGATGCCAGTATTCTCCATCGACAATATTGCAGACACAACGCAAAGCATGCTCTTCGTACACTTGACTACGTACAAGAGATCTTCTATTTCGAAGCCTTTGTGGATCACAACTACCAATTATAATTGAAATCCACATTCGAATGAAATGAGCGATCGACAAACTTGCAAGGGCAGAGCACCGCGGTGGAGAGACCAGGGAAGGGCTATCACTTTATCAGTTATCGATCAACCATGTGCCTGCAAACATTTGCCGACCCTCTTAATAAGTAGAAATTCTTGGCTGGGGCGAACCGTGCGATGGGAGATTACACCTCCCGCTGTAAACCTTTGGTTAACATTATTTTAGCCCATTCCAACGGACAGAACCAACCATTCACGGCGCCTGTCAGCATTTTTCCTGTCCGCTGCGATAGGCGGTTCGTGTACGGAGTAGCTGTCCACGCAACGCTGGGACAGACGCAACGGGTACCTACCTCTCTACAGGTATGATTATTGCTGATCTCCTCGTGATAATCGTGCCCATCGTTATCCCTCTGCCTCCTCTTTTCCAACCTTCCTTTTTCCCCAAGTCACTGTTTTTATTCTTCCCTCTAAATCTTTCTTTTTTCATTTTAAACTTATGTTTCCTTCAGTTCTTCTGTTTTCCTTTCATCCGCGACTTTAGTTTTGTCTTCTTACTTTCTTTTAAGAAATCGACCACTTTGGATGAACACTGCCTTGCAGTCGGCTGTCAGATAAGACACCTGGAGGCGGGTGTGCATCAAGTCTGAGACGCATCTCGTAGCAACTCGACTCGTCTTACTTTCATCTTCGGTCCTTCTATCCTATTCATTCATTCTCTACGTTTCAAAGACTTGTGTATATACTCTTGTTCGAGTATCGACCTTCCTAAGAACCAATTTCAACGCTCTTTTGGCAGACGAGATTACCTGCTGCCTAAATACCTTAACCACCGCAGACCGGCGAATTGCGCTCGCGCCGGATGACATGCGATCATCTAAAAGCTTCCTTGACTGAGACTATTTTATCGCCGGATTTTTGCTGTCGATATCGAGGTTCTTGCGATCTATGACAGCCTCGTACGAGCCAAATCCCCTCTTTTTCCCGTGCGCTTATCTCGCCCCGGTGTTGTCGCAGTAGATTGCACTAGATCGCCAGGCAACCAGCAGTGCAGTGTCGGAAGGGAAACACCTGAATTTTTGTGACCTGTGGAAGACCCTATCTGCCAGGGATAACGGAAGATAACTAATCCTCTTAAACCTGCGTCATGAGTCCAGTCAATCGCCCCTCGCTCTCACTATGGGCACGGGACGCAGTCAGCGACCTCAAGTCTGCGCCGGATACATTCTCGAGTTGGGACAAGTGCATGGCAAAATCCTACTGCAAGTACGTTGTGCGTTTGCTGGTCCCATCTACTTCGATGTGCTGACTGAGATCAAATTAGATGGCCCGTCATCGTTGGTATCATTATCGGCGCAGTCATCCTCATCTCTGTGATTGCGTGCGTAATTAATTGTTTGTGCTGCGGTATCCAGTGTTGCACGGGCTGTTGCCGGTGCTGCTCGTGTTGCTGCCCGTCCCCTCGAAACAAAGCTCCAAGACCGAAGTATCTTGATGAACCGGACTATCATCAGCCGCCTCCGATGCCGGCAAACGATGGTTATCGTGCTCCTCCAGGTCCTCCGGTTTACCGTGGAGCCCAGGTTGCGCGGTTCGAGTCGCCAACTAGCCCTCGACCTGTCAAGGTGAATGAGGATGCGCTGCCTGCGATGCCGAGTTGGAATGATGCTGTCACCAGAAGAGTGGAGGATAAGAGCCATCAGGATACGATGGAAATGGAGCCCTTGAATCCTGCGCACCAGGATTATCAGCGAGTGCAGTCACCTGGAAGGTTCAATAGCCCTGGGCAAATGGGCGTCCCTCCCATTAGAACGCAGACTTCTTCTCCCGGCTATTTCCACGCGTCTTCGCCGTACGATGACGACCGCCAGTATAACCATGATTCCTCCGGACCATATAATCCAGGCGCAACTTCCCCTTATGATCGCGCATATCATGACTATTCCCCACGGAGCTTCTCGCAACCTATGCCCAGAAACCCGGCTCCTTACAGCTCGCAAACACAGTATTCAAACATGCCTAAGGCAATGTCACCTTCCGCTGAGATGCCCCGTCATCTGCCCTACCGGCAACCCTCCCCAGGCATGTCAAGCATGCCGCCACCTCCATCATACAGAGGAATGTCCCCGAACCCTCCTACATCTCCACCTCCACCATTCTCGGCGACGAATCCTGTTCCTCTCGAAGTGAGCGACCCGGGCAGGCCCCCGAGTATCCTACAAAGCGGGCGAAAGCCCGTATCTAACTCATATCGGGATGTTTAGCATCTCATATGAGCTACGCACGAACCCTTGAATAAGTCCTGTCTCCTTTTATATTTTTCTCAAAAGCTTGCGGCCCCATTTTTCGAATATATGTGAAGGGTATGATCATTCTGGGTTGAAAGCCTACGCCTTGCTCTTTTATGCTTGTCAGCTCTTACTCTTGAGGATAAGGGTGTCTTTTTTACTTTTCGGTGTTATGGGAATCACGGCCGCCTGCTACATGACGGAGCGTTCGCCTCGGATTATCCCCTCTGTTTCCCACGATTTACTCCTGGACCACATGTCAATGACTGTCTTGGGCCATGGATGTCCATGCCTTCTTTTTGATGTATACCATTCCGTTCATGATTTATTGCGGGTCCATGCGGATTGCTGTTAGACTAGCTCAATGGAGCACTACAAGACCTAACCTAGCACCGAGTGTAAAACTTGAGACTAGTAAATATGTCTTTTGAGATATACAAACCCCAAAATAAGGTACCAAATACTGTAGCCTCGAACTGAGGGACGCCAAACCATCATTAATTACTTTTCTCCATTGTGGTATCGGTATCTGTTACTCAGACAAACCCGCTAGCAAAGTCTATGGGCGCAAAGGGCAACCGCCAACCCAGTCAAAGACAAACGCCTCTCGGCGATTCACTCCTGCAACGAGAAATCAAACTCCTTGAATGCTTCCTTGAACGCAGCAGCATCCGCCTCTTCTTCTTCCTGCGGCTGCACCCCATCCTTCCAATTCATCCGTTTCTCCAACTCCATCAGTTTCGCCATCACCCGCCGCCCGAACTGGATATCGAAACGGAATTCCGACCCGAGCGGGAGGAGGAGCGTTGTCTCCGATCCTTTGGTGGTGGTGGCGCCGTCTGATCCTTCGGAGTTCTCAGTTTCCGCCGCGGAGGCCGATGGGGGCTCCCATATCCAAAGGCGGAAGAAATCGCCCGGTTCGCTGCTGGGGTCGGCGGTTGCGGACGGACGCTCGAATTTGGGGTAGTTGAGGTTCTCGGCCTCGACTTTGAAGGCGGCGTCGACGAGCCCGCGTTTGATCAGGTCGGCGGGGACGGGCAGGAATTGCCAGTGGATGTGGATGCCGGTTCCGCGGCTGACTTCCCAGGTGACGGCTCCGAGGGCGCCGTTGCTGCGCTGCTGGAGCATGTCGTGTAGGGCGGAGCGGTAGCGCTGCATTTCGGCGTAGGTTGATTGGCGGGCCGTCTGGTCTGTGATGCTGGAGAGGGTGGGTGTGTGGGTGAATGGGATGATGAGGATGTGGCCGGGGAAGTTGAGGGAGGGGAACGTTTTGGCGGTGGAGAGGGGGCCCTTGGCGGTTGTGAGGTAGCTTTCGTTGCCGATGGAGGTGATGAGATGGGTTGCGATGTTGGGGTTGGAGAGGCAGAAGAAGCATTGCTCTGGCCCTGGGGGAGGGGCTCGGGCACGTTTGCGCGGCCGGCTGTGGTCTTCTTCGGTGCCGGCGAAGCGGTGGTAAGATTCTCGCTGAGATGGAAGGACTTTCCGCTTGACTTGGATGGGGGCTAGAGGGGTTGCAGTAGCGCCGACGGGGATGGTAAGAGGTGGCGGGGCCTTGGGATCCAGCGTGAAGGCGTACATCCATTTTTGCTTGGATGTTTTGCTGTAGGATGCCAGACTGATGAAGCGTGTGAGGGGTTTGGCGTCCGGGTTATCCTCTGATGGCATGTGGAAGAATGGTTCGCGCTCGTAGAAGAATCCATCGGACGAGGAAAGATGGTACCGAGGTTTCAATGTAGAACAGAGGTCTGCGATGCATTGCACCTCCTCGGGCACTTTTGCATCCTCTGGTAACGGCGCAGTAGACCCCGTTCGGATGCCCTTGGGCCATTGGTGAGTGATCAGGATGTCCGCACTGTGGGCTCCGTAGAGTGCCCTGGCGTCCGATTCCGTGTAGCCGGGATGGAACTTATTGGTAGCTTTGCTGTCTGTCTCGAGGTTACCACCAAGAGCAACAAGACGGATTCCTTCCGCTGTCTTAAGAGTACCACGTTTGCCCAAAAAGTACAGATTCGGGCAAACTTCGTCGTCCGCCTCGATCCTTTCCACTATCCTGGTGGGAA